TTTTTATTTTTTTCTCCATGACCTCTTTTAAGACTGATTTATCATTGTTAACCATACTTTTTAAATTGCATTTACATATGTTTTTTCTAAACTTACCTAGGCATACTGATTAAATAACTAGCATTACTCCTACTTAATGTTTAAGGTTATAACAAATGTAAATTTGTGTTTAACCAAATTTAGTTATTATTTTGACAAACTTTATTTCAACAACAGCTATGTTTTGTGGATGTCAGCTTGACAATAAATTCCAAGATCATTCACTTAAACCCTTAAACTGATATTAAATTGAGTTCATTCACGGATAATCATTGGGTACCTAGATCATTTCTAGTAAGATAGAATTCTGAAACATTGATTACTAAGCATAATTTAAAGTTTATATGCTCTTCCTTTTTGTTTTTTATATTTTAGAGACAGGGCCTCACAATGTTGCCCAGGCTGGAGTGCAGTGGCTATTCCCAAGTGCGATCATGGTGCACTACAGCCTGGAACTTCTGGCCTCAAGTGATCTTCCCACCTCAGCCTCCCAGTAGCTGGGACTACACTCACAAGCCACTGTGCCTGGCTTCCTTTGTTATTTTTTGTTGTTACACAGAGACTGTATTTTTGAGTCTGTTAACGAATGTGTTTGTTTTACCACCTTGAGAAGATATATTAGGGATGTTTATAGCTCTATAAAGTTGTGTTGTATATATTTGTGAGCTCAACTAGTCTGCTAAAATGCTGATGTGTGACAGATAGTTCTCGATTCTTCAATCCCTAGTTTTTTCTGTGAAATGGAAGTAACTTTGGTTAAAAGTTATAATTAGTATATACAGATAAGACTGTACTGGGATCAATGGTGACAGATATAACTTTGTGTGTAAGAAAATGAGATGTGTTTTTGTTTATTAATGGAAAAAAGAAAATAGTTTTTTCCTACAGTAAAATGACTGGTTGTTCCAGAACCAGAAAGAGGAGAGTAAAGAATAAAACCTGAATGAGTATAGAAAGTTGTAGATTAGTGGAAGGAGAATGATATTTGCCTTGGCCAAAGGTGGCTCCCTTTTGATAAGTTCATTCATAAGATTTTCAAAAAAAGTTTGTGGTTCTGTTATTATCAAGTAGTATCTTGATAATACTGGAATTTTGTTTTCTCTCTCTTATAATGATGCATTTTTCATGGAGTGTTGGTTTGCTCTTAGTGAGAGGTTGTAAAAGTTATTCTTTCCATTCTATGTCATCTGCCCAAATAGCAGTGATTTTGTATCTCAGCAGAATAATTTTCTATGCTCTGTTTTGACTTTCTCATACATTAGGTCATTTTTTAAAAGATAAAACAGACTGGATATGGTGGCATGTGCCTGTAATCCCATTTATGTGCAGAGGAAAAGGCCACGTGAGGGCACAGTAAGAAGCTGGCCGTCTATAAACTAGGAAGAGAGGACTCACCGGAAACCAACCTGATGGCACCTTGGTCTTGGACTTCCAGCCTCCAGAAGTGTGAGAAAATAGATTTCTGTAATTTAACCCACATTGTCTAAAGTACTGTGTTATGACAGCGCAAGTAGACTAACACAGTAAGGCCCAGATATTCTCCATATACATGTGTGAGATATTTATTGTGAATTACTTGTGAATCCTGTATTCATAATCTTTGCTATTTTTCTTTTTTCTCTTATTTGTAGGAGGTCTTAGAAATGTTGTATCTTTAAAAATGATATTATAAATAAATTTTCCAGTATGTCATTTGCCTTTTGACTTGGTTTAAATTGCTCTTTATATATCAAAATTTAAAGGTTTTACAGAATTGAAACAGTGTATCTTTTCCTTTGTGGAATTTGGGTTTTCTGAGTTCCATAGTTCTGTAGAATCTTCCCCCACATAGAAGTTATACAAGTATTATTCAGCCAGGGGACTATAACAGCTGGAAAAATAAATTTCATATATATATATGTATATATATTTTACCAGATTCTGGCTGCATCACCCTAATCTCTGCTTCCATCTTCACTGGAGGTGGAGCTATGTAGCGGTCAGCATAGCTGAACAACCAGAGTGGGCACTTTAGTCATGAGGAAGCAGAGATGTGGCAGCATATTGTGGAAAAAGCTGAATGCATGGGAGTAGCTGTAGAGGGACTACATCGGCATGGTGGGGAGAAGCTGAGCGGATGAGAGTAGCTGCAGACACAGGTGACCCTGGGATGCCTGCTGACCGCTCTTGTGTCACCCATATCATGTCACTGCACTTTCTCCACATTTCAGTTTCTCAAAGCTGCTCCCCCATGCTTGTTTCCACTCTGAAGTCCTCTGATACCTGCGCTTGTCCATCTGTTCCCGCCACCGCCATCAGGGCGGCACGCTTCTCTTCCGAAGTCCTGTGGCATCCTTTTCTGTCCTCCGGCAACATTCTGGTGCTCGGTCCTGTGCCTTGTTTCAGGTTTCTCGTGGGATCGACTCTCAGGAGTTGTCAGGGCATACAAGCCTGGCTTCCTGTCCTGCTCCCGCTGCCGGTGCTCCCCAGCAGAGCCAGCTGCTCCTCGCCTCCCTCCCCACCGCGCCCTGCGGGACTCAGCCTGGGCGCGGCCCCTTGCCTGGGTCCCTGTGACTCCCGCGCTGCTGTCCTGGGGTCGCCTGGCCGCTGCCTTGGGGTGGCGGGCCCAGGCGCTCCTCCTCAGGCCCTGGCGCGTGGCCCCTCCTGGGCGTCCTGGGAGTCACTCCAGCTGTGTCCCCTTTCTGCAGCCTCAACTTCGTCTCTCTCTGTAGAGAAGTTCACTTGATCCTGGAACTCAGAGGAGCTCCACAAACAATTCTCCAATGAGCAGCTTAGACTCAAAAGTAAACACACAGGACACCAGGCACCACGGTATGTTTGAGCAATGCCAGTTTATTGAATGACCTAAAACTCATATATCAATAAGAAAAGGAGAAACACCTGAATGGAAACACAAGGAAAAGCCAGTTCACAGAAAAGGAGAAATCGTTAATAGAGGTAGCAATAATGACCGACATCACTCACAATGAAGAACATTCAAAAAAAAAATGAGGTAACATTTATTTCGCCTTTTGATTGGCAGAGATTAACATTGGATAATCCCAGAGCTCATGAGATGGTGGGAAATGAAGGCTGTGGGGCACTGTTGGTCGGAATGGCAGACAGCGGAAACATCTGAGGGGACTTCAGGTCTCAGAATGATCAGACCCAGCTATATTTACTATGTGTAAAGAAAGGCTTAAAAATATCTGCAGGGAATAGGATATATTTTTTAAAAAGGTCAATGTAGAAAGAAAAAGAACCAAACAAAAATTAGAGAAATGAAAAACATATATTAGTTCAAACAAAAACACAAAGTTTGGGTTTTGTAACATAGGAGAAACAGCTGAAAAGCGGGTTCTGCTTCGCCCCTGGGCCCAGCCAGCTGGAAGTAAGAGAGAGACGATGTCAGACTGGAAGGAGGCCACACTGCAGACATGAAGATTATTCACATTCTGAGTCAATGCAAAGTGGAGTGTAGACTAACCGATTGATCCAGTTTTCTCTCTAACCCCTTCATTGTAAACCCCGATCCTGAACCATCATTTTCAATTTTGGTTCTCAGACCTGGTGACCCTGACTCCCCAAACCACTTAATTCGCCCAAGGTCAGGCCCAGCAATCTGCTTGACAGTGTGGATGTTAGGTGAGGGGATTCTGCTGAGGGAGTAGAGCGCGCGTGGAGAATGTGGCTTTGGAGTCCATCACAGCTTGGACCTTTTCTGTTACTTAAAATCTAAACTTACGACCGTGCTGCAAGCATCACTAACGGGTCAGCATCGTCAGACCAGATGCCTGATCCCTCATCTTAATCCTTCATATTGTCTGATGTTCATTTGTTTGTGACAGAGTCTCTCTCTGTCACCCCGGCTAGACTATCGTGGCATCATCATAGCTCACTGCAAGCTCCGACTCCTGGACTCAAGGGATCCTCCTGCCTCAGCCTCCCGAGTAGCTGGGACTACAGGTGTGCACCACCATGTCCAGCTAATATTTTTCTAGTTTTAGTAGAGACAGGGTCTGGCTTTTGCTAGGGTTGGTCCTCAAGGGATCCTCCCACCACCTCAGCCTCCCGCTGTGCTAGGACTACAGGTGTGAGCCACTGCACCTGGCCGCTAATGCTTTCATAGAATGCTTGGTGCTACTCTTGGCTAGCTGCATAAGATTTAAACCAAATCTTTATCATATTCCCTGCACAAACCGATAACTGTAAAATGTCAGTCATAATAAGCCGAAGCTGAAGCTAGTATGTCTTAACCCTCCATTGTTCTGACAATTTCCTTGACCGTGAATTCTGGGGGAAAATTTGTGATTGTATAAGAGGAGAAATTGGTCCAGAAGTGGTCAGTTGTGGGAAAGCAAGAATTTGGGAGTGGTCTGGTCATGAACAACTTGTTTGGAAGCAAATTTGGATGAAAATATTGGTAGTTATAATTTATGTTTTGTCACTGAACATGCAGACTGTTCCATCTTACATCCTATCGTTAAACCCTTACTTCGCTATAAGTAAATCTGTGTAGTCGGTATGCCTGAGGGACCAAATGAATGAAAAAGAGAAAGGGAAAACATAATACAGTATATGGGGAAAAAAATGTGAATTTACCACAAAAATGTATTCACTTTTGATGAAATTCGTCATTTCATCAAAGGTGTCCTTTGGTCCCAATTACTTTGGGTTAAAGGATTTCTGCCAGATCTGTGCCTCTGTGACAAACTGGTTTTCCTGGGGTGTGGCCAGGTGGCCTTGCTGGCTCCTAGCACATCTCCCTGACGCTGTGCCTGTGTGTGGCTGTCAGTGTGTGGCCGTGAAGCTGACCGGAGGGTCTGGCTGTGTTGTGTGGCCGGCTGTTTCCCAGCGTGTACGAGGGGGATGTGGGTGGGGGTTCCAGAGTGGGCCAAGCAATTGGGTGCCTCAAATGCCCTCAAAGACAACAGATCATTGTGTCTTTGGCCCAGAGAATGCAGGCATAGATGTACCTTTCTTCAGGTCGATGACCTTGGGCCTCCACAGTGCCTGGAGCTGTAGGGAAGGAGGGTGCGATCTCGCCCCCACACCCAGAGGTCGGGATCATAAGCCTGGATCTGGACAGATAAACAGCCTCCTGAAAGATGGCGACTCCCAGGGAAAACTCCTTCCTCCCCTTGTCCAGCCTCCAGTCCGGCCCATTCCCTTCCCACCACCACCCCCAAATTTCCACAGCGCACCCACCTCTTCACACTCTTCCCGGGAAACTCTAGTCCTCCAGCCCATGGATTGGACGAACTGGTAGCGCAGCTTGTGGAACAGAGGACGCTGGGAGCGGCTCTCTCCATATAGGAATGAAAATATGTTTTTCTTGGGGGTCTGGCTGTCCTCCTCCATGTCATTGGCCAGATAGCTGGAGAGAGAAATCAGGTGGCTTGTCAGGGACACCA